CCTCACGTCACTGGAAGACAGAAGAGTTAGAGGGGAAATGATCACCACATACAAGATTCTCAGAGGAATTGATAGGGTAGATAAAGACAGACTATTTAACACAAGGGGCACATGCACTAGGGGACACAGGTAGAAATTGAGTGCACAAATGAGATATAGAGACATTAGAATTTTTTTTTAGTATCAGAGTAATTGACAATTGGAAAGCATTAGGAAGTGATTTCGTGGAGGCAGACTCCATTCGCAGTTTTAAGTGTAGATATGATAGAGCACAATTGGTTCAGGAACCTGTTCACCAGTTGATTGACAGTTGAGAGGCGGGAACAAAGAGCCAGAACTCAACCCTCGTAAGCACAAATAGGCGATTACAATTAGGTGAGAGTACACACACACACACACACACACACACACACACACACACACACACACACACACACACACACACACACACACACACACACACACACACACACACACACACACACACACACACACACACACACACACACACACACACACACACACACACATGCACGCACACACACACACACACACACACACACACACACACACACACACACACACACACACACACACACACACACACACACACACAGCTGGTGTACAGATTCTCAGAATCTGTACACCAGTTGATTGACAGTTGAGAGGCGGGACCAAAGAGCCAAAGCTCAACCCCTGCAAGCACAATTAGGTGAGTACACACACACACACACACACACACACACACACATCCAGGGGCCTCGTAGCCTGGTGGATAGCGCGCAGGACTCGTAATTCTGTGGCGCGGGTTCGATTCCCGCACGAGGCAGAAACAAATGGGCAAAGTTTCTTTCACCCTAAGTGCCCCTGTTACCTAGCAGTAAATAGGTACCTGGGAGTTAGTCAGCTGTCACGGGCTGCTTCCTGGGGTGTGTGTGTGAGGTGTGGGAAAAAAAAAAGTAGTTAGTAAACAGTTGATTGACAGTTGAGAGGCGGGCCGAAAGAGCAAAGCTCAACCCCCGCAAAAACACAACTAGTAAACACATATTTTTGGATTGTCAGAAAGCCTTTGATACAGTACCACACAAGAGGCTAGTGCGAAAGTTGGAGATGCAGGCTGGAGTGAAAGGGAAGGTACTCCGGTGGTTATTGTTATAAGGTAAGCCTGAGTCTTCCTTCACTCCTCCACGGGTCTTGACCGGAAATGGAGTACCTAAGCAACAGGAGACAACGAGTCTGTGTGAGGGGTGAGGTCTCAGATTGGCGAGACGTTACTAGTGGAGTCCCGCAGGGGTCAGTCCTTGGACCTATACTGTTTCTGGTATATGTAAATGATCTCCCAGAGGGTATAGATTCGTTCCTCTCAATGTTTGCCGACGAAGCAAAAATTATGAGGAGGATTGAAACAGAGGATGATAGTAGGAGGCTACAAGATGACCTAGATAGACTGAGCGAATGGTCCAACAAATGGCTGTTGAAGTTCAACCCGAGTAAATGCAAAGTAATGAAACTAGGCAGTGGAAACAGGAGGCCAGACACAGGATACAGAATTGGAGATGAAGTACTTAATGAAACAGACAGAGAGAGAAAGATCTAGGAATTGATATCACACCAAACCTGTCTCCTGAAGCCCAAATAAAGAGAATAACGTCTGCGGCATATGCGAGACTGGCTAACATCAGAAAGGCGTTCAGGAACCTGTGTAAGGAATCATTCAGAATCTTGTACACCACATATGTAAGACCAATCCTGGAGTATGCGGCTCCAGCATGGAGTACGTACCTTGTCAAGCACAAGACGAAGCTGGGAAAAGTCCAAAGGTATGCTACTAGACTAGTCCTAGAACTAAGAGGCATGAGTTATGAGGAAAGGCTGGAGGAAATGCACCTTACGACACTGGAAGACAGAAGAGTAAGGGGGGGACATGATCACAACCTACAAAATCCTCAGGGGAATCGACCGGGTAAACAAGGATGAACTATCAAACACTGGAGGGACGCGAACAAGGGGTCACAGGTGGAAGCTGAGTACCCAAATGAGCCACAGAGACATTAGAAAGAACTTTTTCGGTGTCAGAGTAGTTAGTAAATGGAATGCACTAGGATGTGATGTGGTGGAGGCTGACTCCATACACAGTTTCAAATGTAGATATGATAGAGCCCAGTAGGCTCAGGAATCTGTACACCAGTTGATTGACAGTTGAGACGCGGGACCAAAGAGCCAAAGCTCAATCCACGCAAGCACAAAAAGGTGAGTACACACACACACACACACACACACACACCCTTGCTACCTCACAGGAAGCAAGGGTGTGTGTGTGTCACCCACCCTCTCTCAGCACCCCCAAGATCACCCACCTCTCTCAGCATCCCCAAGATCATCCACCAGTCTCACCACCCACAAGATCACCCACCCCTCTCAGCACCCCCAAGATCACCCACCACTCTCAGCATCCCCAAGATCATCCACCAGTCTCAGCACCCCGAAGATCACCCACCTCCTCTCAGCACCCCCAAGATCACCCACCCCTCTCAGCACCCCCAAGATCACCCACCCCCTTTCAGCACCCCCAAGATCACCCACCCCTCTCAGCACCCCCAAGATCACCCACCCCTCTCAGCACCCCCAAGATCACCCACCTCCTCTCAGCACCCCCAAGATCACCCATCCCTCTCGGCACCCCCAAGATCACCCACCCCCTTTCAGCACCCCTAAGATCACCCACCCCTCCCAGCACCCTAAAGATCACACGAGCGTAGCTCTCATCCTGTAACTAAACTTAGGTAATTACTGACAATGACAAACATTAACTTCACAGGCTGGGTTTGATAAACAAAAACCAGAAAAAACTGACTGTGGCTACAGAGGGGAAGACATTATAAGTCTCCCAACCCACTACTGACTGAGGACCCAGGCCTGCAAGGCCGATAAGTGAGAAGGAGAAGGGGGGAGAGAAGGGGAGGAAGAAGGGGAGAGACAGTAAGAGGGGAAAACAGGAAGAGAGAAAAAGAGGGCCTGTCATGGTTGTTTCAGCCATGGTGCTTGTTACTGGTGATTGTACTGAGCACAATGTGTCCACTGTGGGAACCGACCTGTGAGATTTATATATATTTAATTTATATAGAATTTTTTGTTTTACGTTAATTTATATATTTCGATAGCAATTTGCATGATGTTAAGTGGACTGTATTTCTGCAATAATCTCACAAATCGATCCACTACACATTAAGGGGGGGGTTATATTGAATTTATATATATGCAGCCAATCAAACTACAGTATTAGACTACATACAGTGAAGAGGTTCCTTATCTTATTTGTACAGCAGGCCTTAGTCCACCAGGTATAACTAGGATGTAGACACCAAATTTTCCTTGTATGAGGCAGCTTCCATCACCCTGGTAACTGATACACAGAGCATGCTTCCTCATCTTGACCTGTCAAAAGGGTGGTAGCTATGAAGCCAGAATCCTTATATATGACAGCTATATCAGAGAAAACACTGTACATTGAACCATAAAGACCAAGGCTTAATTACCTTGTTTGAGTCGATCATTTGTGATCTAACCGGCTCACCCTTTATATCTACCTAATATTCATGGCCATAAATGATTAGATAAACGGGTTTCGGAAAGACACCTCCCTTGTATTGGCTGACAGCGTGTTGATGATGAAAGACCACTACTCTGATCTTCGTCACACTTCGTCCAAGAGAATTTATAGGAGCTGTTACTTGCTCCAACGACTCTGGTCTTAAACAATAACAATGCCTGACCACTCCCTCACAACTGACGCCACTGGCCTACATTGTCCAGATAGAAATAAGTGATAGAATGGTCACATTTACTCTATTTTAATATTGATAATTAAGTTAATTTATATGAGATGTTTTTATGATGGTAAAGTCCAAAGACTAATGTATTTAAGAATAATTCCCACCATAATAGGTGGTGAATTTATAATAGTATGTGGCAATGATATCCCGTTTTCTATAGACGGAAAATTCAACTACAAGTTACATTTTCTATGGGTTAACTTGTTTATACAATGCAGCAATATTATCTGCCTGTATGATATTATTAAATGGTGTCGGATTTTCCGACATTCACCGTCCTTCTGTCACCTAGTCACAATAATATTGTGATATTAAACACTTTTAAACTATTCAGTTAACATCAATATTTTCATGTCCTCTGAATACAAACTTCAGATCTGTTGTGAAATATTATTATATAAACATGATGGCAAGTGTTTTATGGTTTCTGGTGCTTAAGTGTAAGTGTCTTAAGTGACCTCCTCTGGCCCTTAAGTGTAAGTGTCTTAAGTGACCTTCACTGGCCCTTAAGTGTAAGTGTCTTAACTGACCTCTGGTGGTTAAGTGTAAGTGTGTCAACTGACCTCCTCTAGTGCTTAAGTGTAAGTGTTTTAACTCACCTCCTCTGATGCTTAAGTGTATCTTAACTGACCTCCTCTGGTGCTTGAGTGTGTTATAACTCACCTCCTCTGGTGCTTAAGTGCAAGTGTCTTAACTGACCTCCTCTGGTGCTTAAGTGCAAGTGTCTTAACTGACCTCCTCTGGTGCTTAAGTGCAAGTGTCTTAACTGACCTCCTCTGGTGCTTAAGTGTAAGTGGGTCAACTGACTTCCTCTAGTGCTTAAGTGTAAGTGTCTTAACTGACCTCCTTTGGTGCTTAAGTGTAAGTGGGTCAACTGACTTCCTCTAGTGCTTAAGTGTAAGTGTCTTAACTGACCTCCTTTGGTGCTTAAGTGCAAGTGTCTTAACTGACCTCCTCTGGTGCTTAAGTGCAAGTTTTTTAACTCACCTCTTCTAGTGCTTAAGTGCAAGTGTCTGGACTCACCTCCTCTGGTGCTTAAGTGTAAGTGCCTCAACTCACTTCCTCTGGTGCTTAAGTGCAAGTGTCTGGACTCACTTCCTCTGGTTCCTAAGTGTAAGTGTGTCAACTCACCTCCTCTGGTGGTAATGAGTAAGTGCATCAACTGAC